TATATATATGTATATATATATACAGAAAGCGATAGATAGATAGATAGATAGATAGATAGATAGATAGATAGTAACCCCCTATTGACCCATACTTCTCGATATTCCATCATACATATATATATATATGTATGTTATATTGACGTCTGTCAGCTAGTTATATATGTGGGCGAAGAGGATATAAAGCTACAGCAAAGTAGATTAAGAAACAGTAGATATACTAGGAGCGCGTGAAGCATAACAAAATTGAAACAGAGTAGATTCAAACCGGTGTCTGGAAGGATCGTAAAAGCAAAAAACAGAAACAAAAAAACACAAAAGAAACAACACAAAACAACAAATCCAGCCGTGTGTGTTGAGTAGGGTCAGATTTTTGTTTTGGTTCTTTTTATAGTTATAGTTTTTTGTATTGTTTTGTTTGTTTGTTTGTTTGTGTTTACGGTCCTGCGCAGGTACGACTCTGCCATCCTTCAGAAACTTGGTGCTATCGAACCACTGAGTTTTCCGAAAATGAGGACAGCGAAAGGCGGTCTGATAGCACCAAATTTCATATAGGGTATAGATGCGTGGGGTTGTGTGTTTGAACTTCCCTAGAGGGCCACGCCTTTCATCACAGCAGGGGGCCAGGAACCGGCATTCACCGGTCCTGGCCAACGAAGACCCGGTGATGTGGGGGTGAAAACGTACCTGCAAAACGCTGGGGCCCCTGAGCCAGCAAGATTAGAAGGCCCCTGTGCCAAGATTAGACTCAGACATTCAGATTTACATAACAGCAGCTGCTAGGTTTTGACAGTTTGCAACACCCTGCCCCACCCCACTTTGCTGTCTCGACTTCTTCTCTTTGCCGAAATCCATCTGTCTCTCTGTCCCTGTGTGTGTGTGTGTGCGTGTGTGTGTGTGTGTGTTTGTGTTTGTGTATGTGTGTACATATATATATATATATGGATGGTACCCCCCCCAGCAAAAAAACTACCTCCAAACGTGTCTGTTGATATCTGTGCTACCACAAGTCAGTACACATGCACACACACACAGAAACACAGACACACACACACACACATACGCGCACACAAACGAAAACACGGATTAGTGCAAAGTGTAATCTCAGTACAATAATCCAGTATTTATACTGAAACCCCGCCCGGATCAGAGATCAGAGATGCGACGGAAAAGTTTTGCAGAGCATCTCTGATCTCTGATCCGGGCTGGGTTTCAGTATAATCTCAGTACAGTTCAGTACTCATACTGAAACCCAGCCCGGATCAGAGATCAGAGATGCNNGCATCTCTGATCTCTGATCCGGGCTGGGCTTCAGTATAGTCTCAGTATAATTCAGTATTTATATTGAAACCCGGCCCGGATCAGAGATCAGAGATGCGACGGAAAAGTTTTGCAGGGCATCTCTGATCTCTGATCCAGGCTGGGTTTCAGTATAATTTCAGTTCAATTCGGTATTTATACTGAAACCCGGCCCGGA